AAAAGTCATGTACCATGATGTCAAATTGGCAATAGTTACCGAGTTATTAATTAAAAAATGTGAGCCAACGAGCGCGTAGAGAGCGGAGGGCGGCCGCAGTAAGCACGTAGTCATTTGATACAGGCGGAGTCAATGAGTGTCGGTAGATAAGCGCGCGCGGCGAGGGGCAACGTAAGCGACAAGAGGCGATCGCGCGCGACGAGGAGCGAGTGAGCTTTTTCTTTATAGCTGTTTCCTTATAGCTCGCTCGCTCCTCGTTGTTCGCGCTGGCTCACTCTTCGTCGCGCTCGCTCGCCTCTTGTCGTTTGCGCTTGCTCGCTCCTTGTCGTTCGCGCTCGCTCGCTCCTCGTCGTTCGCGCTCGCTCGTTCCTCGTCGCGCGCGTTCGCCTCTTGTTGTTTATGTTGCCTCGCCGCGCGCGCTCGCCAACCGTCACTCGCTGACTCCGCCTGTATCAAATGTCTATGTGCTTACTGCGGTCGCCCTCCGTTCTCTACGCGCTCGTTGGTTCACATGTTTTAATTAATAACTCGATAACTATTGGCAATTTGACATTATGGTACATAACTTTTCTTCTCGGCTACACCCAATCTATCTCCAACTTTCGTCTGCATGATCAGCTATCAAACACCCTGTATACATGTGTGTGTGTGTGTGCGTGTGCGTGTGCGTATGCGTGTGCGTGCGGGCGTGTGTGTGTGTGTGTGTATATGCGTGTGTGTGTGTGTGTGTGTATAGTGGCGTAATAGCTGTAATATTAATAATAAAATTAAACAATATAATATTATATAGCTCTAACTATAGCTCTAATATATGCAACTAAACCATTCTAAAATATGTGTTCAACATTTTGTAATTATACAATTCCATATAACATAATTATGTGTTAATCTTTTTTCCACAGATACCAGCAGATGGCAAAATTGTCAGTATAACATTATTGCGATATTAAAAGTCTACTTTTTATTACATCTAAAACGAAATATAACATTACGTCAATTTTATATTTTGTTATAAAAATCCTATCTAAAAAAGTGTGTTATCGTGAATGTATTTCTTATCGAAGCGTTGAGGCCTCTTTTCCGCGATGTTGATTGGCCATCTCGACTGTCTCGATCGTCTCGACCGGTCACGGCTGCATTCGTGTCGCTCGCAGCTGTCATCGCGGCGAATGACAGCTGAATGACAGTTTGGAGAATTGACAGGGGAGAGAGAGAGAGTGTGTGTGTGTGAGAGTGAGTGTTTGAAAGGGAGTATGTGAGTGGGAGAATGAGAGAAAGAGAAAGGCAGAGAGAGAGAGAGAAAGAGGAGAGGGAGAGAGCAGAGAGGGGGAGAGAGAGAAAGAGAGGAGAATGTGAAAGAGAGTTTGTGAGAGGGAGAGAGGGAGAGAGAGAGAAAAGATGAGAGCATATGGCAGAGAGAGAGAGAGAGAGAGAGAGAGAGAAAAGATGAGAGCATATGGCAGAGAGAGAGAGAGAGAGAGAGAGAGAGAGAGAGAGAGAGAGAGAGAGAGAGAGAGAGAGAGAGAGAGAGAGAGAGAGAGAGAGAGAGGGAGAGGGAGAGGGAGAGGGAGAGGGAGAGGGAGAGGGAGAGGGAGAGGAGAGGGAGAGGGAGAGGGAGAGGGAGAGGGAGAGGGAGAGGGAGAGGGAGAGGGAGAGGGAGAGGGAGAGGGAGAGGGAGAGGGAGAGGGAGAGGGAGAGGGAGAGGGAGAGGGAGAGGGAGAGGGAGAGGGAGAGGGAGAGGAGAGGGAGAGGGAGAGGGAGAGGGAGAGGGAGAGGGAGAGGGAGAGGGAGAGGGAGAGGGAGAGAGAGAGAGAGAGAGAGAGAGAGAGAGAGAGAGAGAGAGAGAGAGAGAGAGAGAGAGAGAGAGAGAGAGAGGAGAGAGAGAGAGAGAGAGAGGGAGAGAGAGGGAGAGAGAGGGAGAGAGAGGGAGAGAGAGGGAGAGAGAGGGAGAGAGAGGGAGAGAGAGGGAGAGAGAGGGAGAGAGAGGGAGAGAGAGGGAGAGAGAGGGAGAGAGAGGGAGAGAGAGGAGAGAGAGAGAGAGAGAGAGAGAGAGAGAGAGAGAGAGAGAGAGAGAGAGAGAGAGAGAGAGAGAGAGAGAGAGAGAGAGAGAGAGAGAGAGAGAGAGAGAGTGAGAGAGAGAGTGAGGGGGGAAGAGATAGAGCTTAAGATGGGCTTGAATAGTAATGTTGAACGTCGAAATTTTGATTGGTTATACGGTTACGCGTTACTATCTAGAAAATATATGTCATGGAATATCAAACTGTATGCGCCTATTACATCGTATGTTGGAGTCAGATATTATCGAACTTATATTATACTCCAGGGATTATTTTTAATTTATAATATTCGTTCTGAACTTTAATATAAATAAGCTAAGTTGGCGCGCGCGTAGCGCGCGCTTGTAATGTTCTAGTGTAATAAAAAGCGGATATTTGAATATTGTCATAATATACTGAAGTATTTTTGTCATTTGATATCCACAAGATATCTGTAGAAATTAGCAAACAACTGTATTATGTAGGATATCATAATTGCAAGTTATTAGTTAGAGTCACATACTATAGATATTATGTTAAACAGCAATCGCAATAGTATTGTAACTATTAATAAATCAAAATTATAACACATATATATATTTATTTATAAAAGTATGTTACAACAATTGATATTGAATAAAAATTTGCTTCTTTGGTTAATACTAAATGGTACACATACATAATGGTGTTCGTAACAAAATATAAACTATGTATATAAAACATAAATAAAGTGTTTTATCTACTTTGGTAGTAAAAAATAAACGAAAAACATCAAAGAACTATCAAAATTATAGACACATATACAGGGTGTCTCAGAACTTTGGGACACGGACTCCGTAGGGATATAGAGCTAAATGAGAGGAACGATAAAGTCCTCTGCCATAATGTGAAAATCATAATAGTTTTTTAATTATAACAGCGCAAAGTTAGGCAACATTAGGAGGTTTTCCACGCTCAGCGCGGCCTATAGAGGCCTATAGCGGCCTTTAGCGGCTTATAGCGGCTGAACGATAACGCAGCTCACGGTGACCGTCGCGTGGCATCAAAGCGCTAAGACACCATCGCGACAGTCAGCGCGAGACGCGTATCGCTTAGCCCCTACGCACACACCTTGCCGCGGAGCGTCTATAGGCCGCGCTGGGTGTGGAAAACGCCTAACTTTCCGCTGTTATAATTAAAAAACTATTACGATTTTCACATTATGGCACAGGACTTTTTTGTTCCTCTCACTTAACTCTATATCCTTACGGAGTCCGTGTCCCAAAGTTCTGAGACACCCTGTATATAAAAGGAAAACATATAGATGAAAAATATTATATTAATACTATTAATAAAACTATTAATAAAAATACTATGTTAAATGATAATATCATTGTTAATCATGAGCCACCGTTTCTCCAATTTTTTGCCTTGAAATCCGTATAGTCGCTTATGCAAGCCATTTCGATACATATTCCGCACAGTCGTTGTCTGTTATTGCGCTGTGGGATATAGGAACAGGTTCTGAAATATATATCATTACCATATTATTATTATTTTTATAAAATGTTAAATAATAATTAAATAGCAACTTGAATCTAAATAATACCGTTATTTGCAATATTGATCAAAATCATCTTGCTTTACGGAGTAGAATAACACTTTTTTCTTAAAAATTCGTTCATTTTGTGTAAAAGCGAATCGAAATAGCTTAGTCTAATCAATTTTCAAAGTGAAATCCGGGAAACTAAATAAATACCCAAGAGATATATAGTCTTATCTGTATGCATTGCTTACAACACCTGTTGCAGGGTGTAGTCTACGTATATACTTATATAGGTCGACAAAATACAATTTCTGATTACGGTGGTTCCAATGAGGCCCTTCAGAAAAGTTACAAGGCTCTGTCAGTTTCTCAACACACATTTGTGTCATCTGCAACTTGACTAAATAAAATATAAAGGGACGAATTGTAATATTTTACGGAGTGAATTGCAAAACGATATTTAAATTACTATTATATGTCGATAAGCGTTCTTTCTCGTTTGAGATGAAAATATGACTGCGATCTAGATCAATTTGATCGAAAGACGTTACAATAATGTCTTTGTTACAATAACCAAATGTATTTACATACCTCTTTTCTCCAGCTACGTAACAGGCACTTTAAGGAGATTCCAACTTCCAGCTAGAGAGCCTCAAAGGGAGAGAATGGCAAATTGATCACGTGACCAGGTCTCTGCTGATTCGATGGAGGCACAAGGCCTTCTTCACCAATTAGAATATTGATATAGCATGACGACAAGCTGGTTTTATAATAAGTCATAGGATTAAGACCGACTTTAATCCTAACTAGTCTTACATTCGGTGATTTAAGCCGTAAGCTTTAAAAATGGAACAATCGCAATTAAGTTTTGTTGTAACATCTATCAACAAATAGAAATTAAAAGAGGAGGTAAAAAGAGGAGGTTAAAGCGTTTAGCGTCGCATAGGACATTTGTCCACGGGTATTCAATTGTTACTGCAAATTAATATCTTTGCAATATAGTTGCAATATTGCAGAAATAATATTGCACAAGATTGTTTTTGTAATTTTGCTGTAATATTGCACTGCAATATGCAATTTTGCAATGTTACAACAATGTTGCTGCAGCTTCTGTGCTATATGGGATATTAGTATACAACAGTTACATTATTGAATGAAAAATTATAACTATCATTAACGATCATATAATTCCTATAATGTTATTCTTACTTAAGATTTATTGTTGGGTTCCTGCGTATACAATATATTTTAAATAAATACAAACAAGATCTGCAATTGGCTCTTACCGTCTCTTACTCTATTGTATTATTTGAAAAAAAATTATTAAGTCTATAACAAGATCTGTAACAACTGTAACACTTTATTTTCAACTTTATAAATTACGAACTTTCGTAGCGTATTTAAATTATTATTGTACATATGAGTGAAAAAGTGCATACCTATTTTAGCAATTAGTGCCTGAAAGTCTTGGACTGCCTTGTACTTTTGACCGTTTTTAACGTTTTTACTAGAGAACGTGGCGAATGTTGGTTTGTTAATGCTAGGAGTCACATTCTGATATTTATGTAGATTTAACTCAAAGTTGCGTAATTCGGATTCAAGTATAGATTGCTCTTGCGACAAAGATTCAAACTGATAGGACTTCTCGAAGTCTTGAATCTTTTGTGACAGTCTTACAAGTCGTTGCTTATACATGTTTGTGTCTAAATAAATGTATTTAAAAATTATTAAATACAGGGCTCTTATAAAAAAATTAATTCAATGTCAAAACAAATTTTGACGTTTATTTCCGTAACAAAATAGATTTACTAACGATTAAAATATGAAATAACGATTTCTCATTAATTATATACACAACAATGCACAGTGCGCAATTAAAACTGTAAGTAAATTTTTAAATTATACAGTAGTTAAGTACAAATTTATAGATCCAGAATATACATGCGCGAAAATAATCAAATAAAAATATGTCAAATAATATTAGGTGTACAACTTTATTTCCGCCGTTTTCCTATAGATGGTTTTAGCGGTAAGTAGTGGTCGAAATAAATAGATCATAGACGTCATGCAATAAACTTGGGCATCTGTACCCCACCAACCCCATAGAAGCATTAGTCGATTTGTGTCTGCATCATAAAGTTATTCTCGATTGAAAATGTCAGTTTACGAGCCAAATTCTCGTCATTTGTGGGAGGTTTTAATTTTCTGCTTCAATACGAAGAAATCTGCGGCTGAGGCTCATCGAATGCTCTCAAATACTTATGGTGAGGCCGCTATTAGTGAAAGAACGTATCGTGAGTGGTTTCAACGCTTCAAGAACGGTGATTTTCACGTCGAAGACCGGCATAGCGGTGGAAGAGAGAAGGTTTTCGAAGATGCAGAATTGGAGGCATTACTTAATGAAGACTCGTGTCAAAGTCAAGAAGAATTGGCACGATCATTGGGAGTGACTCAACAAGCAATTTCAAAACGCCTCAAAGACATGGGAATGATTCAGAAGCAAGGAAATTGGGTGCCGTACGAGTTGAAACCGAAAGATGTTGAACGGCGTTTGTTTGCTTGTGAACAGTTGCTTGAAAGGCAAAGACGGAAGGGATTTCTGCATCGCATTGTGACTGGGAACGAAAAATAGGTTCATTAAGATAACCCCAAGCGCAGAAAATCATGGGTATATTCCGGCTATGCTTCCACGTCGACGGCCAAACCGAATATTCATGGCTCCAAGGTCATGCTCTGTATTTGGTGGGACTAGCTCGGCGTAGTGTATTATGAGCTGTTAAAACTGACTGAAACAATCACAGGCGATCGTTATCGAACGCAATTAATGCGTTTAAGCCGTGCATTGAAAGAAAAATGGCTGCAATACAACGAGAGATACGATAAAGTGATTTTACAGCATGACAATGCTCGATCCCATGTTGCGAAAGTGGTCAAGACATACTTGGAAACGTTGAAATGGGAAGTCCTACCCCACCCGCCGTATTCTCCAGACGTTGCTCCCTCTGACTGTCATTTGTTTCGATCAATGGCACACGGCCTGGTTGACCAACACTTCCGGTCTTATGAAGAAGTAAGAAATTGGATCGATTCGTGGATCGCTTCAAAAGATGACGAGTATTTTCAACGCGGGATTCGTACGCTGCCCGAAAGATGGGAGAAAGTAGTGGCCAGCGATGGACAATATTTTGAATCATAAATATATCAGGTGTAGTAAAAAGAAATCCATTATTTTTGCATGAAATTGAAAGCTTTAATTACCATAGTTAGAATGATCCGATTTAGGTCAAATATGCGCCGTTTTGTTCGATAACTTGTTGCCATTTTGAAGGTAATTTCATTAATGTACAATTACGTAATGTCAAGGGTCAATATTAGGCGGTGATGTAAATCCCTCGGAACTTGCGGAACCGCCTGTCATCTTTCATGACGACTAATTTCGTCCTCGGCAGGACAAGATCTGCGGTCTCCGTCCATTAACCCTTTGTATGGCACTTGTTTTCTACCTGACGAATTTCTGTGAAATCTTGCATCTCTATAGTTTTTGGACCACTGATTAAAAAGCCAGATTTCAAAAATTCAAAATGGCAAATCCAATATGACTAACATAAGGGTAAGTTGGTGTAAGTCTGAATAAAATCAGTAAAGATTTTAGATCGTTAATTACGAATTCCATGTCAGATATATAAAAATCATTTCATTTCATTATGCCTCTCTCATAGAAGCCCTCGTCCCTATTAGCAAAAAATTGAGACAGTCGATTTTCACAAGCCTCTCTTGAAGCGAATTTTTCACCAGCATAATTGTTCGCCATGGACAGGAACAGATGGTAATCACTTGGTGCCAAGTCCGGACTATAAGGTGGATGCATAAGAACCTCCCAACCAAGCTCCCGGAGCTTCTGGCGAGTCACTATCGATGTGTGTGGCCTGGCGTTGTCCTGATGGAACACAATTCCTCTCCTATTGGCCAAAGCCAGCCGCTTCTGGGCGATTGCTTCCTTCAGACGGTCCAATTGTTGACAGTACAGTTCCGAGTTAAGAGTTTTGCCGTAGGGGAGCAGCTCATAGTAGATAATTCCCTGCCAATCCCACCAAACACACAGCAAAACCTTCCTGGCCGTCAATCCTGGCTTGGCCACCGTTTCCGCCGGCTCACCGCGATTCAACCACGACCGTTTTCGCTTGACGTTATCGTAAGTGATCCATTTTTCATCACCAGTGACCAACCGCTTCAGAAATGGGTCGATTTTGTTGCGATTCAGCAGCGATTCGCAGATGGAAATTCGGTCCATGAGGTTTTTTTGCGTTAACTCGTGTGGCACCCATACATCGAGCTTCTTTTTGTATCCAGCCTTATTCAAATGGTTCCAAACGGTTTTTTGTGCAATCTTTAGCTCTTGGGCAATCGAAACAGTGCTTACATGACGGTCGGACTCGACAATGTCCATGATTTTATCGATATTTTCGACAATTGGCTTTCCAGTGCGTGGTGCATCTTTGACATCGAAATTACCGGAACGGAATCGACGAAACTAAAATTGCGCGTGATTGGCTGTTACAGTATCAGGACCATAAATACTATTCACATTTTCAGCCGCCTGGCTTGCGTTTTCGCCTTTATTGAAGAAAAACTGTAAAATATAGCGTATTTTCTCTTTGCTAGTGTCCATCTTTGACGCGCGCTCAAACAAAACTGAGTCAACTAATCACAAAACTGTCAGAAAAGTTTTTTTAGTACGAAATCTCATCTTTCTAACGCCATCTAGTGGAACCCGATTGGACTTATACAACGCGAGATACAGATAACTAAAGCCATCTATTGGAAAAATAATGGATTTCTTTTTACTACACCCGATATAACCAGTTTTTTTACAATAAAGCCTCGAATTTCGGAAAAAAACGGCGGAAGCAAAGTTGTACACCTAATAACATCTATTAATCGAAAATATATTATTGATCGCGAATAGATTAACCATTTAAATATTCACCTAAGTTTCGAATTTGTTCAGGACAGTCCATAATGGATTTTGCTGATTCGGATTCCTCAGTAATTTTATCCAAAGATTTTTTTACACTCTCTAGAAACTCTTCCCTTTAAAAGTATTTAAAGAAAATACTTGCATTATAGAACACTGTAATATGTTTGAATGAACTTGACTTAAACCTAACGTAGTGTAAACCTATATTACGCGAAACTGCGAGTTGAAACGAGATGAGATATTCATATCTCAGCAATGGTTAAACCGATCTAGGTTTTTTCAGTCTCAATCGATTCGGCCTTAAAAAAATAGGAAGAAAAGTGTGCTTGTGTTTTCTGTGTACGTTGTCTCTAAGTGTAGATATTTTAAGATAAAGTCCGAATCACGGAAAATTTCGGTTCAATAAGAAAATACGAAAGTAAGAAACGCTAGACTACAGAGGAGAGGGAATTTGTGCGTCTCACTTTTCCAACACCAGAGACGGTACGAGCGCCTCTTGACAAACCTATTTTAAGAGTATTTTACATTAGATGTATTTGTAAAGAAATGGTTTATATGTGACTATTGTATGAGTTTTAGACATTTGAATATTAGGGAAATGTTTCACCGATAAACGAGTAATTATTCTATATAAACTTAAATAAAACATTACACCGTGTACGTAGAGAAAATTTATAAGTACATTTTATTATAATAAAAATGATGTCATGTATGTATTAAACAAGTTTTAGTTCGATATAGTTTTTAGTGCAGCCGCGCCAAAATTTTTTGCATTAAATATTTTGTATTGCATTATTATAATAACTAATTTATTATAATAACAAGTAAAATAACCATAAAACTCAGTGTTCTAGTAAATAATGAAGACACTGCTTTTGAAGTACCGGACTTGGTATCATTGGGAGTTTTCAATACATTTATCTTCAAATTGCAAATCGTTCTCATTTGCAGAGTTGATGTTGAGTAGAGTTTTTCAGTTGATGCTGTTGTTTTGTTATATCATTTTTTTGTAGAACAGTTTTGTAGAGTTTTATTTATAGTATTCAATAGAAGAATTTATTGTTGGAGGTATAAGTTTTACTTGTACAAACTTGTACATATTACTTGTATAACGAAAATAATAAATTACATTGCCCAAGGATACACGCTCAGGTGCGATACGATGCATAGTACTAAAAGCGTAAATATTGTCGCTTATCTTGAATAAAGAATTAATTATGTTATAATCATATATATATATGTTAGGTATTTTTCAGTTGGCGTTACTATTTTAATATATCATTTCTTTTGTAAAGTAGAACAGTGTTGTAGAGTTTTATTATAGTTATAAGTTTTACTTGTAAAATTTTATGTTACATATATAACTTGAAAAAAATTATTTGAGATTTCTAAAAATAACATATACTGTTGCTAAAAATAACAATATAATGTTACGTGTGTACTTGGCACCTCTTTTTATCTTTTTGTTTAAAAAGGTAAGTTTATATTTATTTTTTATATTACATCTTTTCTATAGTTACCAGGCGTGTCGGTAATTCCTTTCCGGTTTTTTCGCTAAAGAAAACACGTTATTTACAATGGATAGCTAAAATATATTCATTCAAAGTATTGGCCATTTGATTCTATACATTTTGCCCATCTCTCAGGCAATTTATGGATGCCATTCCAAAAGAACTGTTTCTCCTTTGAGCTAAACCATTCATCGAGCCATTTTTTAACTTCTTCGAAATCGGCGAAGTACTGCTCTGCAAGCGCGTGCCCCATCGATACGAAAAGGTGGTAGTCGGATGGAGCCAGGTCTGGAGAGTACGGCGGGTGCGATAAAACTTTCCATCCAAGTGATTTCAACACTTCTTTGACTGGTTTTGCTGTATGAGACGGCGCGTTGTCATGCTGCAAAATCACCTTATCATGTCTTTGAGCGTATTGTGGACGTTTTTCGATCAATGCACAGTTCAAATGGATAAGTTGTTGTTGGTAGCGATCAGTATTAACTGTTTCTCCAGGTTTCAACAGTTCATAATATCAGGTGTAGTAAAAAGAAATCCATTATTTTTGCATGAAATTGAAGGCTTTAATTACCATAGTTAGAATGATCCGATATAGGTCAAATATGCGCCGTTTTGTTCGATAACTTGTTGCCATTTTGAAGGTAATTTCATTATGCCTCTCTCATAGAAGCCCTCGTCCCTATTGGCAAAAAATTTAGACAGTCGATTTTCACAAGCCTCTCTTGAAGCGAATTTTTCACCAGCAAAATTGTTCGCCATGGACAGGAACAGATGGTAATCACTTGGTGCCAGGTCCGGACTATAAGGTGGATGCATAAGAACCTCCCAACCAAGCTCTCGGAGCTTCTGGCGAGTCACTATCGATGTGTGTGGCTTGGCGTTGTCCTGATGGAACACAATTCCTCTCCTATTGGCCAAAGCCAGCCGCTTCTGGGCGATTGCTTCCTTCAGACGGTCCAATTGTTGACAGTACAGTTCCGAGTTAAGAGTTTTGCCGTAGGGGAGCAGCTCATAGTAGATAATTCCCTGCCAATCCCACCAAACACACAGCAAAACCTTCCTGGTCGTTAATCCTGGCTTGGCCACCGTTTCCGCCGGCTCACCGCGATTCGACCACGACCGTTTTCGCTTGACGTTGTCGTAAGTGATTCACTTTTCATCACTAGTGACCAACCGCTTCAGAAATGGGTCGATTTTGTTGCGATTCAGCAGCGATTCGCAGATGGAAATTCGGTCCATGAGGTTTTTTTTCGTTAACTCGTGTGGCACCCATATATCGAGCTTCTTTTTGTATCCAGCCTTATTCAAATGGTTCCAAACGGTTTTTTGTGCAATCTTTAGCTCTTGGGCAATCGAAACAGTGCTTACATGACGGTCGGACTCGACAATGTCCATGATTTTATCGATATTTTCGACAATTGGCTTTCCAATGCGTGGTGCATCTTTGACATCGAAATTACCGGAACGGAATCGACGAAACTAAAATTGCGCGTGATTGGCTGTTACAGTATCAGGACCATAAACACTATTCACATTTTCAGCCTCCTGGCTTGCGTTTTCGCCTTTATCGAAGAAAAACTGTAAAATATAGCGTATTTTCTCTTTGCTAGTGTCCATCTTTGACGCGCGCTCAAACAAAACTGAGTCAACTAATCACAAAACTGTCAGAAAAGTTTGTTTAGTACGAAATCTCATCTTTCTAACGCCATCTAGTGGAACCCGATCGGACTTATACAACGCGAGATACAGATAACTAAAGCCATATATTGGAAAAATAATGGATTTCTTTTTACTACACCTGATATACGACACCAACCTGGTCCCACCAGACACAGAGCATGGTCTTGCGACCAAAGCGATTTGGCCTTGCAGTCGATGGGCCGCCTTCGCCAGGTGATAACCATGATTTTTTTCGCTTGGGATTTTCGAAATAAATCCATTTTTCATCACCCGTTACTATTCGATGCAGAAATGACTTCCTTTCATACCTTTGAAGCAGCATTTCACTGACGATTTTTCGATTTTCCAATTGCCTGTCATTCGATTCATGTGGCACCCATCTTCCCATCTTTTGGATCTTTCCCATCGCTTGTAATCGTTCACAAATTGCTACTCGGCTCACATTCAACTTTTCTGCCAATTGTTTTTGAGTTTGTGTTGGGTCTTCATCCAATAACTCCTGCAATTCCGCATCTTCAAACGTTTTCGGCCTACCATGACGTTTTTTGTCTTGAACGTTGAAATCACCATATTTGAATTGTCGAAACCACGTTTCATATGTTCTTATGGTTGGAGCATGCTCACTGTAAGTCTCTACCAGCAAACGATGACTTTCAGCGGCTTTTTTCTTTTAATTAAACAAGAAAAGTAATGCGTGCCGCAAATGCACGTTTTCAGGCACAAAACTCGACATTTTCAAAAAATTATTAATCTATAACGCTGTTATTTTGGCGGAACGTAACTTGTGTAGTTTTGAGGTTAATGTCAGTAGAATAAAATGACATATGTATCAAATCGTAACATTGCATACTTATGGCTAGTGACATCTGTTACAAAAACCGGAAAGTAATTACCGACATACCTGGTAGATAAGTTTTATTTGTAAAAATTTATATATTTCACACCTATATATCTTGAGAAAAAAATAATTTGAGTTTGATATGTTACATACATATATAAAAAAAAAATAATTTGAATTTGGTATACATGTATACAGGGTGTCTCAAAAATACCGGACCCCCCGAATAACTTTGCAGGATCAAATTTTCATGAAAAACTTTAAGTACAAAAGTTGTAGAAAATCGAGTAACGGACTTAATGGTGACTTTGAATTTGACCTTGGCCGTGACTTTGAAAGTCATTTGGAGGTCAACTTGCGTTTTTTAAATAGGAATCCTTATTTTTTATTACACTGTTCTTTTCTACCAATTAATTTGAACAACTTTTGTCTAAAACAGCTTTTTGCCTAATATTTTTTGAGATATTTGAGGAAAACTTGATAACTTTTTCAATATTTAACTTACGATATCTCGCTAACTATGTGTCGGAGGAAAAAGTGGTACTAGACTTTCTTGCTTTAGTTAATCTCAAGAATATATTGTTACAATAGCGCCCTGACTTTTGTTAACTTACTGACTTTTGGAATTTTCAAAATCATCAAATTAACAAAAATCACGGCAGTATTGTAACAATATATTCTCGAGACTAAATAAAGCAAGAAAGTCTAGTACCACTTTTTCCTCCGACACATAGTTAGCGAGATATCGTAAGTTAAATATTGAAAAAGTTATCAAGTTTTCCTCAAATATCTCAAAAAATATTAGGCAAATAAAAAGCTGTTTTAGATAAAAGTTGTTCAAATTAATTGGTAGAAAAGAACAGTGTAATAAAAAATAAGGGTTCCCATTTAAAAAACTTAAGTTGACCTTCAAATAACTTTCAAAGTCATGGCCAAGGTCAAATTCAAGGTCGCCATTAAGTATATTACTCGATTTTCTACAAGTTTTGTACTTAAAGTTTTTCATGAAAATTTGATCCTGCAAAGTTATTCGGGGGGTCTGGTATTTTTGAGACATCCTGTATGTAAAAATGACACCCGTTATTCGATTGCTAGTCAACAGGAACGATCTGATCAGCTATTGAAAATAGCTGATCTGTGCTATTGAAAATAGCAATCCTTAAAATTGAAGAGCGATCTCCCTGGACAACGAGTCAATAAGCACCAGTATTGATTTTTCCACAGCACAGCTGATCAGATCGTCCCAGCTGACCAGCAATCAAATGACGAGTGTCACCATTTGCATTTACAGCGTAGTGAAACTTTGTTCATTACGGAGCGTGCATTGCAAATATTCCTGTCAAATGTAGTTTTATGAACTTCCGTCTCGATGGGATTTGCTTTTGGCGGGAGCAGCGGCACGAAATTCCAGTTTGCTGATACTCGCTCCGGATCTGATTCTAATCCCAGTTAAGCTAATCGAAACTTTCCGCATTAATCTGTAATGTTCCTCTCCGTGAACTGCTCCCCTCCCCCCGGTTCTGAGACTTTTAATTTCGTTAGTTCATTATTACTATACGCCCGCGCTTCTGTTCTCTGCTGATCTTACGCCGCTGGTAATAAGAAGATAAACGGCATTAAAAGTGTTAATTGAAGGAGAAAGTATTGCGAGGGAGCATTCCGAGGAAAAAAAAGCGCCTCAGTTAGATAAGACGGGGAACCAGCCGCGCGGAAGAGATAGGGCAAGAGCACAGGCTTTTGCATAACGTATAATACATAACGCACAAGAGAATAAACCAATTAGTTTCCTTCATTTCTCTCCTCAGGATAGAAATGAAGAACTCTGATTGGTTGATTCTCTTATGCGTTGTGTATTATGCGTTATGCAGAAGTCTATGCTCTTGCCCTATAAATAAATATAACATAAGAGGCGATCGTAACGCCTCTGGTATTGGAAAAATGAGATGCATAAATCCCCTCTCTTCTATGGTCTAGCGTTTCTTATTTTTTCACTTTCTTACAAAATCGAAATTTTCCATGACTTGGACTTTATCTTAAAATATCTACTTAAAAACAACGTACACAGAAAACACAAGCACACTTTTCTTCCTATTTTTGAAGGCCGAATCGATTGAGACTGAAAAAATCTCGATTGGTTTAGCCATTGCTGAGACATGAATATTCCACCTCGTTTCAACTCGCAGTTTCGCGTAATATAGGCACGGTGTGCCTCTTGATGAAAAATTTAAGTGATTTTTCGTCGCTTACCTCTTTCTGGAGATGTCATTCATATCTTGTAAAGCAAGTTGCACATCTTTTGATCTTATGTTCTCCGTCAAATTAAGCAGATTCCTTTCTAACAAACTCTCCTGTTGCTTCAACTTCAATAATGACTTCTTATATTTCGTACTTTCGGCAGAACATATTTTTTCGCACGATGGCATTCGTTTCTCCTTTCTGTTTTCATCATGATTAATTCCATTCATTATTACATACGCAATTGCAATATTGAAATTATTTGCTTAAAATACAATAATGTTCTACCAATAAAAAAGAAAAAATAATAATAACGCAGAGAATTCACAGACGCGTCGTCTTTTCACGTGGGTTGACTCGGCCGACTGAATTCATTAAAGTTTGCGGCCCAATAAAGTTTTACACATAGGTTTCCATAGCAATTCACCGTAACCGTCTCCCTTCTGATGTAACTGCACCTGTTGTTCGAGTATGGCTTTCCATACGCAGTTCTATAATACAGTTCACAGATAAAATTAAGAATAGTCGAAAAAAGAATAATTCATGAGAATAAGTTTTAATTTATCCGTTACAGTATTCACATACAAAGAATATTACAAAATGTTTAATGTAAAAAATATTATAAAAATGTTCAATGTAACATAAAATATCCAATAGAACGTATTTAAATGCATACATGCATGGAAAAAATTTCTTTAGATGCATTTTTATTCGATGGACTTGAATTTCTTTAATTTAAACAATTTAATGTTATATTAAATATTATTTTGATTGATTAGATTAGACCATGTTGTATTTGATAGAAAAATTGCTATTTAAAGAAAATATGTAATTTGATTTTCAATCAAATGGTATATTATCTGGTCATATTTTACCTTATCTATCAATCTATTAATTAGTTATTAATAATAATTATATAATTAATTCCGTTAGCCGTTATATAATTGTAAATTGGGTCATTCTGAACAAAAAGGTCTTTTACCATTTTGTAAATAAATATGTAAATTTTCAAGTTATCAATTGAAAGAGCTTCTAAATGTGATCATTTTTAATCATTAATAACTTAATAATTATTGCGATTTTTGCAAAATGATACTTTTCTCTTCTCAGTTTGATCTAATTAATCTTCACAATTTTTCGTTTCCAAAAGATCCCGGAAATCCTATATAATATCTAAAATTCATGTCAACAACTTACAATCAATGAACAATTTACTGTAAAAAAATTTGCTTTTGCTTTTATTGTAATGTAATACGATAAAATATACTTTTGTTGAGGAACACAAACTTTTGAAATTTTGTATTAACAATATAGGTATTTTCATACAATATATATCAGATCAATACTTCAAAATTAAATGACGTGCATAGTAACGGATTTCAAATAGAAGTAATTATTAGATAATGAGAGTTTCACAATTTATCTTATATCGATTGCCAAATCTGAAATTCCTGTGCCAAATATTGAATCCACAGAGATAAAGAAGAAGATTCAATGAATTCCAGAAGTTGTTGGATATTAATACGTTTTTTCACCAATGTTTCCAGAGCAGCAAGGTAAATAGAATTATTTAATTGCTACGATTTAATTGCTGCGATGTCATTGAGGACTATTTCCACGATAAACATAATTCTTATATTAAAAAATCTCAATCTCCAAATATTTATACGATCCTTATAAAAAAATATTACTGGTTGTGATAAATGAGGTAGTGATAAATTATTGTTACTTACTAATTTTAATACTCATACAAGTACTAGAATTACTAAGTAACAATAATTAATACAATAATATAAAAAGACGTCAAGGACGTATCTTCGTCTCAAAATACGAGTAGAACATGACTGCGAAATGCTATAAACAAGCATGTGAACCAAAGTATTAATACGAAAAACTATAAGCTTTTTCCTACGTCTGACTTGAAAAATGGTATATGAATCATATCATCAAACTCACAATATACCTCGGATATTTAATTCTTTGTGTGGCATATTTTTTCTACCTGAAGGATTTCTGTGAAATCTTATCTTACATTTCTATGTTTTTTGAGTTGCTGATTACAAATCCGAAATTAGATTTGAAAAATTCAAAATGGTAGATCCAATATGGCTGCCATATAAGGGTAAATTAGTATAAATCTAAATAAATGTAAAACAGTTATATGATATGAAAATTTTTAAGATTATTAATTACGAATTTTATGTCAGAGTTGCAAAATTCATTCAAGTAATTTATTTATAAAGAAATCTAACGTGTGAAAAATTCTGAAAGAAATTACATATATTATATTTTGGCATGTGAATAATATTCAGTAAAATTTTTCAGTAAAAGTTTTTAATCTTAAACATTATAGTTAGGTTAAAAAGAATAAAAAAAAATTTTTTTCATAAGAAAATGAAAGTCACCTTCAATTTTTTAAATAACACTATGCACTTTTTTGTATATAATATTGTAGAGGATTTTAAGATGGATTCAATACAGTACCACAAATATGATATATAAAAAAAGTACATAGTACCATTTAAAAAATTCAAGGTGGCATTGATACGTTTACGAAAATATATCTTTTACCTTTTGTTATTGTAAATTGTAGCCTACATGAAATAGTTGAAAATTTACCTTGCAACTTTTTCCTTAAATTATCAGAAGTGTTTAAAAAACTATTACATTACGTTGAACATTCTATATATTATTTGTATATATTACTAAAGAGAAATTGCAACATATATAATAATTTCAATAATAATTTCAGTATAGTCTAGTACTATTATAATAATGTTTAATAATATTGTAATAACTGTTATAGTAATTTTTATTACAAATTTTTTTAGTAACGTAAGGTAACGATTAAGTCAACTAAATAAAAAATCTTATAAAATTTTGAAATAATTATATATAGATTTTTAGTTATCGATTGAAGGATATTGGTGCATTATTATACATGATTGTCGGTCAATCTTCCTTGAAAAGCGATTAACTCTCTTATCGGAAATAGGACAGTCTCAATTTCCAAATTTTGCCGTCGCTATGATTTTTTTACACCGAGTTATTAACAAACTGTTTATCTAAAATCGTTTAATCAGCATTCAAGCTGCTAACAATGTTGCGCTGCAGCGACTTTGAGCTGAGCACGCTGCCAAAATATGGAGTCCATGCCCTCCCTCCCTCACACACATATAGACTCTTTTTCTGTCTTTCTATATTATTATTAAAAAGAGCCTGAGAGCGGTCATGGTGGGGATTTCCCGGTAACGCTATTTTGAAGAGTTTCTATGTTCATTTTATGGATAAACTACGTAGTCAACGTCTATTATTTTTCTCAGTGGATAAAAGATAATGTCCATAATTTTGTGGTTCCGTTCCTTGCTATTGAATACTATTGGTTAGACAAAGACAATCGACTTTCTGTCTGTCCTCGTCTTACCACTAGCGAGCAGCAATTGAGTTGTTGAAAAAAAAACTATATATTTATTTTAGTATAAATGCAATTGGATTTTGTGTGTAAACACTCAAGTTTGTAACAGAGGATCAAGGGAAAATGTAAATATCTGGATTGTATTTTTATCTATAAGATAAGAGTATATTAAAGATTCAATATTTATCATTGTTACTTCAGCTCATAACCGATTATTGCGCAAACCTGTCAAGCGGCTTTCAATCGTGACAATTCAATACGTACTTCATTGCATATTTAAGTCCATTTTTACACAGTGAATGCGTACCATGTAAAAGAAATCATGTAAAAAAATTGTATAAAAATAAACTTGCAACAAAGTATTAGGTCTATGCATAATTCCGTAGCGAAAATCGAATAAATTTCAAATGCAAACTATTTAGCAAAAAAAGCGATTTTAATCAACTAAATATGTTCCATTCTGTTCAACGACTTTCTGCCATCTCTCCACGAGCTTTATTATCCCTCTTTCTAAGATCTTTGGGCAAAGAAGTCGTCCAAGTGGTTTTTGAGGACGTCTAGGGAACTGAAGGTTTTATTATTCAAATTGTTCTGTAGCGCCCGGAACAAGTGATAGTCTGAAGGCGCAAGGTCTGGACTATACGGTGGGTGCACCAAAACATCCCACCTAAGCCGCAATAACTTTTGCCGGATCATCAGAGAAACGTGTGGTCTAGAGTTGTCTTGATGGAACACAACGCCCTTTCTGTTCGTCAATTCGGACTGCTTCTGATCGATTGTTCGTTTTAATTTGGTCAGTTGTGAGCAGTACCTGGTCGAATCAATCGTTTTGTTGGATAGCAGCAGCTCATAATAGATGATTCCTTTCTAATCCCAACAGATACAGAGCGTGACTTTCTTCGGCCCTAATCCAGCCTTTGTGACTGTCTGAGCAGCCTCCCTGCACTTCGACCATGATCTGTTTCGACTGACATTGTTGTAGACAATTCATTTTTCATCGCCAGTGATCACCCGCTTTAAAAATGACTCGTTTTGATGACGTTTGAGCAGCAAATTGCAAGCTGAAATTCGGTCCATTAAATTTTTTTCGCTCAGTTCGTGCGGCACCCAAACATCAAGCTTGTTTACCATCCCAAGCTTCCGTAAATGTCTCGAAACAGTTGATTGTTCAATGTTGAGGTTATGTCCAATCTCTATAGTCATCAAATGCTCGTCGGAGCCGATTAAAGCCTTGATTTGATCGACATCAGTAGTGACTGGCCGACCAGAGCAAGGAGCATTTTGGAAATCAAAATTTTTGCAACGAAATTTCGCAACACACTTCTAACACACACTTTCGCTTACGGTATTCTCTCCGTACATGACGCATATCTTTTTGTGAGTTTTTGCGACGCGTTTCTGCCTTTTCGGAAATAAAAAAGCGAAATACATCGAAAATATACGTTTTTTCCTTCCGTGTTCAAAATATAATTAAACTTCGTATATGTCATGGATCTCGATGAATACTTTCTTAAAATGTCGGTGCAAATTTCAGCTTTCACTGAATGTACGACATTTCATGTTTGATACATGTGCGAGCGGAAAAACAACTGCGAACATCTATCGAAATTTCGCTACGGAATTATGCATAGACCCAATATAAAATTTATGTTAAATTAAGGTAAACTATACAAAAAACAATTTGAAATATAAAAATATATTCATTAGAAACATTTTATTTAATAAATACATATTAAAAGTATGCAAAAGTTTTCATTGTTCGCATATATAATAGATGGCATTGTGAATTATTTAGATAAAAGTTACGATGCATTT